AGGATGTGGAGAAAAGGGAACCCTAGTGCACTGTTGGTAGGAATGCAGACTGGTGCACCACCATGAAAAACAGTATGGAATTTCCTCAAAAAACTAAAAATAGAATTGCCTTTTGATTCAGTGATTCCACTGCTGGGATTATACCCTAAGAATCCTAAAACACCAATTCAAAGGAACCTATGCACCCAGGTGTTCACAGCAGCATTATTTACAATAGCCAAGTGCTGGAAACAGCTTAAGTGCCCATCAATAAATGAGTAAATCAAAACACTGTGGTACATTTACACAATGGGATACTATGCAGCAGAAAGAAAGAAGGAACTCCTACCTTTCATGACAGTGTAGATGGAACTGAAGAGTAAAATCTTTAACTCTTGAATTCCCCTATCAAGATCCTTTGGTTTGAGAAATACCAGATGTGAGAGCCTGGGGCCTTCTCAGGTCCTTTCTGGGATATGTATAGCCTTAGTTATGTGCATTGCCCTATGCATGTATGTGTCCTTCTAGATTTTCAGGAATATGTTGGAGCTTTTCAAAGCCTGCTATAGACATCTAATTCCTGAGTTTTTCATGTTAAGCTTTATGATGAGCTTAGAAATTGCTTCAATTGTTTGGTTGTTTGTTTACCTTAGGCAGTTGCAATATTAAACAATTGGCTATGATTGTTTTCAACCTATGCTCCTGGAGAAAGGCTGTTCATACTTGGTGAACTCAATCAGAGCCAATAAAGAGAGCCTTGAGAGTAGAGCTCTTGGGAATCACCAAATGGTTCAAAATATGACAGTTATCTGAGAATGAGATTTTAAAGGGACTTTTACACTTTTATGCTCTTTCCAGTGGCTGCCATGTTGCTGGTTTTCACCATGCTAGCAAGCTCTTGACTTTTAAGGCCATCGCAGAGCTAAAAAGAGAAAAATGAGAATAAAGCACCTTAAAATGCCATAAAGCTCAGCCCTGGCTGGGTGGCTCAGTTGGTTGGAGCATTGTCCTGTACACCAAAATGCTGTGGGTTTCATTCCCGGTAAGGGATCCCGTCAGGGTGCATATTGGAGGCAAATGATACAACCAACTGATGTCTCTCTCTCTCTTTGTCTCCCTCTCCCTTTCTCCCCTTCTCTAAAATCAATTTAAAAATATCCTCACTGAGGATAAAGCTCCATGTGGTTTTGCTTGTTTGTTTTACTGAGATTTGGCTGTTATTCTTGAATGAACACTCCTTGGATTGTTGTAAACTCTTGGTCACTTTCCAGAGTTCTGGTATAGTTAATTCTGACAATTTTTCCAATGTTCACATTGCTTTTATGGAGGAAAGGATTTTCAATGGTCTTTACTCTCCCTTTCTTCTGGATGTCATTTTTTATTTTTTAATTCCCACCCAAGGATGTGTTTAATGACTTTAGAGAGAGAGGAAGGGAGAGAGAAGGAAAGATGGAGATATGAGTGAGAAACATCTGTTGGTTGCTTCCCATATGTGCCCTGATCAGGGATCAAACTGCAAACTCAGTATGTGCCCCTGACTAGGAATCGAACCTACAACCTTTTGGTGTATGGGATGACATTCCAACCAAGTGAGCCATCCAGCCAGGCCTGGATATCTGTTTTTTGATACTTAATCAATTAATGATGTGCTAATTAAGGTCTGAAATTCTCCCTGGAGTCCCCTGAGGGTTAGTTTCTTTACTTACAATTTGCCACTGGATTTATGAGTCTGACAAACCTGGTTTGATTATGTAGATTGCCTCTGGAAGAGTTTCTCCTATGAGCTTTCTCTAAACATGATTCCTCTCATAGACCTTGCTGATTGACACTGATGATACAACATGGTCCAATTATGTAAATATGGGCTCTTGGTGACCTTGCACATGGGATGTCTTTCTGCCCTCCAATACTTGTCTGTTTTCTTTCTCTTGCTGCACCATATCCTTTTTCTTTAAAGAAAAGTCTATGGATACTCTATAGAATTTGCTAAATCCTTCCAAATAACCAAGCTGGGAAAAGTTTTGCAGTGATACGTCCATACAATATAGTACTGTGCAGCTGTAGAAAAGATTGTGAAATATATCTGTGAATTCATGTGGACAGATATTCAGGATATATTGTTAAAAAAATAAAATGCAAGGTGCAGAATTGCATTTTTAGTATACTTTTTTGTAAGGAGAGAAATACAAGGGTATATAATTGTATTTGTTTGATTTGCATATATAAACACTGAAAGGATACACAAAAAACTGTTCAAATTATTAACTATGTAAGTGGTGGAAGCAAGATAACTCAACCTATAAATTTTCATATTTTGACCTAAAAATTTCATGTTTTGATTTTGAAACTTATGAATGTATTACTCATTCAAAAAGTATATTTTCAAGGTATATGAAGAAAAATTGTCATGTAGCTCAAGAGGGATAATAAAGTATTATAGAGGTTCATTTTAAGTACCAAGAAATAAAGATGGAAAAACAGTAGACATGCCACAGCATAGACATAAACAGCAAAAGTAAGAAGTGACACAAGATACAAAGGTTAAGTTTTACTTGGGGAGCGTATAAAAGGCTTAAATAATGGCTTTAGCTTAAATTTTCTGAATAGCAGCATTGGTCACTTTTTGAGCAGGGTATTTCTCTGTTGTTGTGGGTATCCTATGCTTTGTAGGATGTTTAGCGCTAATCTTAGCCTCTACACAGTAGATACCAGTAGCAATCCCCACAAAGTTGTGACAACAAAAAATGTCTTCAAACATTGCCAAATGTCCAGAGGAGGAGAACAGCAAAAGCTCCCAGTTGAGAATCGCTGCTTTAGCTGATGTGAATAGTATGTAGGTTTTCCAAGCAGCTCCTTAAAATTTTAAAAATATTTTAGTTGTTTTTTTCTGTCAATTGATCTATGTCCCAGAATTACCCTTTCATTGAGATATTAAATATTTCATATAATAGTATTTTCAAATATTTCACATAATAGTATTTTCCAGTTCCCTTTGGTTAATATAAACACGACCAAGCCACCATATTATTTTGTAACTTCTTTTGGGTGGCATTAATGATTTATCAGAGATATTTTCCCTCTTGATACGATATTTAAATTGATGAATCATTTGGTGTGATTTTATTACTTTGAGACCTTTTGTGTATTACCCAATCTTTATTTCTTTAATGATATTAGAGAAATGGAATTAAATACTTGTGTCCACGTACTCACTTTTCAATAGAATTTCTTATATAAAATTGAGGGAAAACATACCTCTAACATGAATTTGAAATAATTTTGTTATGACTCCGTTTCTTTTTAAAAACCTTTTCTTGGGAGTCTGGAATCCTTCAAAATCCTTCAAGAAATTGTCCAGGGGGGTCATAAGGACAATAATTAATTAGCACCACATCTGTGACAGTCCCGTCCTACAATGGCCTATAGCCAGGGGCCCCTGCTAGCTCAGTAACTCACAATCCTGGCAGCCTGACTTAAGGCAGGTTTTGCAGAGAGAAATAGAAGGAGCATCTCTACCCAGCTCTGCCCAGGATCTTCTGGGAGTGATGCATGTGGTCATAATTATTTTAAAACATGATTGTTTTGTTTCTGAAGAAAGCAAATCAAACCCAGAATCAGGAGACCAGTCCACAGATTATAGCACAACCATCTGTGTGAACTTGTTGTCAAGTCTCCCTTCTCCATCTTGTCCTGGAAAGTTTGTGTGTGTGTGTTTTGTTGTTGCTGTTAATGTGATTAATGTCAGTTTCAGGAGCGGGGAAGATCACATTTCCCAAAGAATCACCTGGGTTTACCCTGTCTCCTCTCGGGTGGGAGGGTTTTCTTAGCAGAAGGGAGATACAGTTCTAAGAAATAAAGCGAAGACAGTTCTGCGACTGTGATAGAAAAATTCCCTTCGTGCTGAAATAACTGGAGGAGTCTAACGACGGGATACACTCAAATAAATCTTCAGCCAGCTACCGGATCTTCAACCACCCTCCCTCCCTCTTCTGCAGCGCCTCCTTAGTTAGTATTTGCAGCCCATTCCCAATTCCGCCCGCAGCGCGTGCAGTCTCGCAACTTCGCTCGCAGGCCCAGGACTCTCCCCAGAGCATCGCTAAATTGCAAACAGATGCCCCCATGCCTAAGGCCTCACCGACTAGGCCACCGCCTGGGACACATGTTCCAGCTCGGCTGTTTCCGAGTGGAAAAGCTGGCCGCTGGATTGTTTTATTCTCTTTTCTTGAAAAAGCTGGTTTTGAGAGCAGGATTCCCCTTTCCCCGGGCAGGGGAGCGGAGAACCAGACCGGGTACCGGGACTGGACACCCAGTGCTTGGCCTTTGCAGAGCCAAGTAGTGGCTTCTCGCCCTGTCCGGTCCGGAGGTATAGCGGCCCTCCCCTCTCCTTCACCCGGGAGAAGCAGACGCCACGCTCTGGGGGGTTTTTTTCGCCCCCTCCTCCAGCACTCCTTACGAAAAGGATCCGGGACGCCAGACCTTGCTTCCATCCCTGCACTCGCAGCCCGTGCTGCGGGAGTCCCGAGCTTATTCGGGAGGCGAATTTCCCGCCAAAGATTAGGCTTGGGAAGTCAGTTCTGACCGCGCCGTTGTTCCTCGCCGGGTCATTTCAGAAGCACTTCCAAAAGTTCAGGTTCTTAAGCCGCCGCCACCCCGCCCCAGCCCCAGCCCCTAGCGCACGAATATCCGGTGGTGGCCAACAGGTGGGCTGCCGGCAGCTCCTCGCTGCAGTCAAGGAGCTGAAGGTGCTCTCTCCCGACAACACCTGGACTGCTCCGTGACACACCCACCAAATCCCATGAATCCAAATATCATTGCCGGAGGTGTCCAAATTTCGAGTTTGTTCAGATTGTCTCTTCCTGGCATCGACTCTGGAAGCCTCTGCTGCGAGGTCTTTCCCTTTGAACCCGAAGGGGCGCAAGCGTGGCTTCGCCGGGTCCGCCTCTTCCCTGGGCTCATGCGGGAGGGGTGGGTAGGCAGGAACCTGGATCTGATTAGGTGGGAGGGGGAAGTGTGGTCCCAAACGCCCTCTCTCTTCTCCCAGCTCCTCCGGGAGGAGGAGGGACGGTACAAGCGAGGGGGCTCCCACCCCTCAGCACTCGACTTGGGGTTCCAAGCCGTCGCCACAGTCTCCAGGCTATCACCTCATCCCCGCCAAGGGTCCCAGCCATGGGACCCAGTTCCAGCTCCGGCTTCTACGTGAGCCGCGCGGTAGCCCTGTTGCTGGCGGGGCTGGCAGCCGCGCTCCTGCTGGCATTGGCTGTGCTCTCAGCCCTGTACGGCCACTGCGCTCGTGTCGCGCCGTCGGAACTTCGCAACTGCGGCGTCCGGGACGCCGAGCCCTCAAGGTCGAGCGAGCAGGGGGGGTCGCCGCCTGCCCGGAAGCCCGGCCCCACTCGTGAGCCAGCGGTGGCGGTCACGCCGGACAAGTGGCTACCCCCGGGGCCCTGGGACCAGCTGCGCTTGCCGTCCTGGCTCGTGCCACTGCACTATGAGCTGGAGCTGTGGCCCCGGCTGAGGCCGGACGAGCTCTCGCCTCCAGAGCTGCGCTTCACTGGCCACGTGAACATCACTCTACGCTGCACGGTGGCTACCGCCCTGCTGCTACTGCACAGCCTCTACCTGGACTGTGATAGGGCCGAGGTGCGGGGTCCTCTATCCCCGGGCACTGCAGACGCCACCGTTGGCCACTTGCCGGTGAACAACGTGTGGTTCGCATTGGACATGCAATACCTGGTGCTGGAACTCCGTGAGGCCCTGCAGCCCGGGAGCCTCTATGAGCTGCAGCTGAGCTTTTCGGGCCTGGCATACCAGAACACGAGGGAGGGACTCTTCCTCAACGTCTACACGGACCAGGGTGAGCGCAGGTAAGGGCGAACAGGCCCGGGCGTCCTCAGTCCCCGCGTCCGTCTGTTTAGCTGCCCACCTGCTTCCAAGCGCGCGCGTCTCTAGCTCTTCCCAAGCCAGCGGGAGAGCGCCTCCTTCCTCCCCCTTGCTTCCAGAGATCCTGTTTGGAATAAAGGCTCCGAGACCATGGCCACTTTTCACTCCCATCCCTATCCATCCAGTTCGTTTCTCTGCTTGTCCCTTTTAAGGTCGCTGCAACCCTCAGAAGTTTGTCGTTATCTTCAGAAAGTCCCCTTTTCCTCTAACCCTCAGTTTCTTCACTGCAGTAAACAAATCCCTTGGTATTCAACGTTTGGTCCACGGACCCTCAACAGCTGTAATACTTCGGGGGTTGAGGGATGAGAACTTGCGTTTTAACGAGGTCCGCAGGTGATTTCCGGGCATAAAGTCGGAGAAGCGCGGGACCATCCATCGTACCCTTGACCTCCTCGCTGCTCCCTCCCCCGGCGCCCTTCCGCGTTCAGCTCCCTACTGTGACTCTTTTTTCCTCCTCTGCGCTCTGTAACTGCTGACTAACAACAACAAAAAGACTCTCGTCGGGGCTGTTTGCTCTCGTAATTTTTCCTTTTGCTAAAGTTCTCCAAACCTTCGGAATCCCCTTTAATTCATCCCCTCCCACTCCCCTGCCTGGGGCCCGCATCTGTTTTTGCTGGTGAGCAGCCGCATCCCCTACCCCACCCAGCTCTTTGAACAGCTCTACAGAGTGTCCGTGCCGGCGCCTTTGGGATTCTTCTGCTGGAAAAATAAATAAAAGTGATGACAGGCCGCCCCTCTGAGTTTGCAAGCTCAGGTAGTGTACATATGTTCTTTTTATATTCATTTGAGATAATGTCTCCCACACGGAATGTTTCCAGTTCAGTAATTGCCTTTTGCCACCGTCTGCGACCACATTGCTTGACCTCTAGCGAGAAACGGGGGATAAACGGTTTAGGGCGGTGGAAGATACCAAAAAAAGTGTTTTATTTTTCTTTTCAATTGAATGTATAGGGGTGACACTGGTTCGCGAAACCATACAGATTTCAAGTGTACAGCTCAATAAAACACCATCTGTATTCGGCATCATGCGCCTGTCACCCCAAGTAAAAGTCTTCTTTGGTCTCCATTCCACCCCCTTTCTTTGCCCTCCTCCACCTAGCCCTCCATGTCCCACCCCCTTCTTTTTGGCCTTCACCACACTGCTGCCTCTGCCTACGTGCTATGTATATATGGTTTGTTGTGGGGGGTTTTGCTTAATCCCTTCACCTTTTTTCACCCAATCCCCCCAACCCCCTTCCACTCTGACAGCTGCCAGTCTGTTCCATGTATCCATGCCTGTTTTTATTTTGTTCTTCAGTTTATTTTGTTCATTAGATTCCACATATAAAGGTGTTTTGTTTTGTTTTGTTTTGTTTTGTTTTGTTTTCCCTTCAAACTGGTGATCTCCTTCACTCACGCACTGTTGGAGCATTTGTGGTTTCCACAATTGCATGTACTTTACCCTTTATTATTAGAGAAAATGTTCTCAGATGTTCTCTGTGAGAAAGAAACCCACTAAATTACCCCCTAAATCATCTCCTGTGCTATTTTCAAAACTTTAGGGGTTTTAAAATAAGTTTAATAAGCTGCCTTAGTGGATGTGTAATCTGTAACTTTTGTTTTTAAGGACAGTATGCCTGGTTTTTCTCTACCAAAAATGCATCAATGCTTGGAAAATTATTTCTGAAAAGTTTCATATCAGGATGACGTGTAGCTGGACTATGAGCACTGGAAACCTTTTGAAATAACTGTGTAGTTCAGGGTGCCAGATTTTTCAGAGGAAAGAAATGCCCACTGTGTGCATACATACCTGATAGCGTTTCCTGCTGTCAGTAAGTAAATCATCTGTTCGCCCATCTCTTTCTTCTTCCTGAAGGGGAAGTTTTAATGGAGCTGTGGCTCAGATAAACTGCTCTAGCAAACATGGGAAAGTCCCTTTTTCTATTGTGCTGCCAACTCTAGTGGTAACCAGAAACCATATTTTGAGAACATTAAAATTCAAACAGGCAGAAATCTTAATAAAGTTTTGCAGATGTTCACAGAGCAAGGTGGAGCTCCAGAACTGTGGCCTCTTAAAGGAGCTATTGCCTCAAAATTGTTCTTTGGGGTCTCTGCCTCTGAAGCCACAAGGAAAAGAAACATCTGAGCAGCTCTTTGTTAAAAAGGAAAATTAGAATTAGATGTTTGAGATAAATAACACCAACCCAAGACTTTTTGTTTACCCAATCGAGATGATTCAGAAAAGGAAAAGGACTGACTTGAAGCCAAGGCCTCAGAGAACTTGGACAAAGTGATGACGTGGTGAGACAGATTTTAGAAACCCAGTGGGGCTGAGTTTGAACCTGAGCCATGTGGCTTGAGCCAGTCTCTCTACCTCTCTGAGTTTGTTCATGGAATACACACAGTAAGTGTCAACCATTGGAGTGCTGTGAGAAATCAATGAGAAAGAGGGGGCAGTGACTGACAATCTGTGCCGTGGTAGCTGCTATCACTAGCTCAGGGTATTATTGTTAGGAGCATCCTCCTGTTATCCAAACATGGAGTCTGCCAAATTCCTGGTAGATACAAATTTAAGAAGAGGATTCTCATGTGGGAAGAAACTGCTTATTGATTTCTCATTTTTCTTAGGATGTCTGTAGTTTCAGATGCAGCAATCAGAACACTTTGACCTCTTTTCATTGGTGACTCTTTATCACAGTCTGTACAGGCTAATGTTTTTAAATAATTTTACTCAACACTAAGGGAAATAAGAAAATCATTCCAGAAAATGATTTTCAAGGAGCATCACTGTCTCCCATTTCTAATGTTTAGGTTATGATTTTCTACTTTCAGAGGTTTTTGGGTATGCTTCCCATCTGTTCTTGGCCTTCTTCCACTTGTCAGGGTCATCACATTTCTGCCATACAGGAGCTCCCTCCCGGATGCCTTGGACATGTGCTTCTGTGTGTCAGTGTCTGGTTCCCTCCTTCCATGTGTAGAAAGTTGAGAGCAAGATTGAAGTGTGGCTGTTCCTCAAAGCAATATTTCCCAAACTTCATCTATTGGCATACCATTATCTCAGGGTTTGTCATATTTATATATCCCTAGCCATATTATTTGCTTTAAAAAGTTACTTGATTTAAACAAAAATATTAAGTAAATTTATTGAAAAGCAAGTCTATACCATTGTCACAAATGGGAAACCATTTGCAGTTTATCAGCTGTAATGGCACAGACTAATACAACAAAACCATGCTGGTGAGTAGTAGTACTGTTGCCTACTGAAGGATTTATAGGCTCTGAATCTGAGGGCTGCTCTCTATTAAGAAGGAAAATTAGAATTAGATTTTTAAGGTAAATAACACTAAACCAAGACTTTCTCTTGACCTAATCAAAATGATTCTTAAAATTAGAAAAGGACTGACTTTCTCATGTATAAGCCAAATCTCTATGATAGTGTAAAGGAGGGCTACCACAAATCTTTCTCCATCTATACTTTGGAAAATCCTTCATTAGACCAATGGTTTACAAACTTTTAATGGACATCAGAGCCATCAGAGGAGCTTATTAAACATGTAGATTCCACCCTGGCTGGTGTGGCTCAGTGGATTGAGCGCTGGCCTGCAAACCAAAGTGTTGTCAGTTTGATTCCCAGTCTAGGGCACATGCCTGGGTTGCAGGCCAGGTCCTAAGTGGGAGATGTGCCAGAGGCAACCACACATTGATGTTTCTCTCCCTTGTCTTCTCCCACCCTTTCTCTAAAAATAAATAAATAAAATATGTTTTAAAAACCCATGTGGATTCCTGGTGCACACCTTCAGAAATTCCATGTCAGCACACTCATGTCAATAGCATCAAAACACAGTGGAAGCAACCCAAGTGTCCACTGGTGGATGAATGGACAAACAAAATGTAGTATATACATACATGGAAAGTATGATTCAGCCTTTAAAAGGAAGAAAATTCTGAAATATGCTACAACATGGATGAACCTTAAGGACATTATATAAGTTACTTAGGGTAGTCAAATTCATAGAGATAGGAAGTAGAATTGTGGCTGCTTAAGTACTGGGGGACTGGGGAGTTTTTTAATAAGGGATATTTTGGGTTCCAGTTTTTAGCTATTATAAATAAAATTTCTATGAGTAATTGTGTATAAGTTTTTGTGTGATGGTGAGTTTCTATTTTTCTGAAATAAAGGCCCAGGAGTACAATGGCTGGGTTGTATAGTAGTTGCATGTTTTGTTTTTAAGAAAATGCCAAACTGTTTCCCAAAGTGTCTATGCCGTTATACAGTCCCACCGGCAGTGTATGAATGACAGTTTTTCTTCATCACAGCGACCATTAGGTATCACCACTGTGTTTTTTAGCTGTTCTGGTAAGTGTATGATGATATCTCATTGTGATTTTAACTTGCATTTCTCTAATGGCTAATGATGTTGAACATCTTTTCATGCTTATTTGTCATCTGTACATTACTTATTTTCAGTAAAATGGTTCTTCATCTCTTTTACCCATTTTCTCATTGAATTGTTTTTTTACTGTTGAGTTCTGGGACTTCTTTATACATATGACATCTGAGTCTGTTGTGAGATATATGGTTTACAAATATGTTCTCTCAGTCTGTAGTTTGTCTTTTCAGTTTGTGAATAACGTTTTTTGGAGACCAAAGCTTTTAACTTTAATGAAGTCCAATTTATCAATTTTTTATATGTCATGCTTGTAGTGTCATGTCTAAGAACTCTTTTTTTAGGACTCATTTTTTTAGAGTAGTTTAAGGTTTATAGCAAAGTTGAGAGGGAAATGTAGAGATTTCCCATACAGTCTCTGTCCCCATTCCTGCATAGCTTCTCCCACTAATGATATCACTCACCAGAGAAGTTTTTTTTTTTTTTTAAATACCAAAGGTGAACCCATATTGACATATCATAATCACTCAAAGTCCAGAGTTTACCTTGGGGTTTCC